GCAGCAAAAGTTCATTTTGTATGAGTTGAATGTGATACCCAACGAATTCTTCATTGATGGTAAAAACTTGAATTTCTGTGAATAAAAAAATGAAGAAATGAAAAGGTGAATGCAATTAATGACCACTTTTTACATACTGTCGTCAATTCAAATATCAATTTAATCAAAGAAACTGGCATATTTTGGACATAACTCATAAAATTTTATTCACGATTGATAAAGTCTATCTATTTTTCAGACAAAAAAATGTACAAAATCTAAATCGTATGAATAGTCCATTCGATAAATGCCAAACAAACAAACGTTCATTTATCCATCGTAATTTTGAGGAACAGCGCCAGCTTCATCTCTATTGCCAACTTGCGACAGATGTTTCACAATATCAACCCAGTCATATCCTCTTGGTCGCTCTCCGCCACCAGCTGTTGCTTTGTCCCATTGACGACGTTTCTGTGCCTTGGTCAATTTTTCAGCTTTCGGTTTTGAAATGGATAGGCCGCCAATATCGGCATCGGAACTATCTGAATCATTTGAATCATCGCTTTCCGAGCTTTCATCTTCACTGACGTGTTGCGGTTGAGCCTCCATCATTTCCTCAATGCGATCCTTAAGGCACTCAAACAGTGTGTATGTCATCCCACAACCGATCCATTGTTCAGCTTCCGTCTTTAAAGCTTCCGTGATTTTTTCTTTCACTGGATCCACTCTGCAAACAATTCGGATATCGTTTATTAATTTCGAAAACCATTTCGTACGTCAATAAAAGACTAAGACTGCAGACACTTACAAGTGTTGATTGTAAAATACATTCATATTGATTTTCGGTCCTTCATTTGGATATTCATCGCCCCACACCAACTCCACGAGAAATGTGTGCTCATCATTCTCTGTTCCATACTGAAACCAATCAAAAAATTACATTCAATGGCTCAAGAACTCGTATTTTTGGCGACGGTGATAAGGTTAGCTATACTCACTTTGTATTGAAATGTTGTGGGATTGACTTGTTTGAACGCTTCGTCGCCTTCGTAAATCGAAATCAGCGCCTCGCGTTCATCATCTTGCATTTGTTTCAACTCCTCCGACATATCATAGTCTTTTTTATACAATTTTTCTGTGTCTAAAAGTGATAGGAAAGTTTTACCACTAGAAAGTGCACAAGAACAACAAATGTCTTGTAAATATTGAAACGTCAAATTGTCACGCATTCCGTTCGGAACGTTTTCGAAATTCGAAATGAGAAAATACCGAATTCGCTACATCAACTGTTGAAACACTTTGACACTTCGCCATTTCGCCCGAATGACTAATAAAGCACGCGCAAATTAGAAGAAATTGGAATTTAAATTTGAAATTCGAATAATTTTATACCAGAATCGGATGATGATGGTTTATGAATGATATTTTCTGGTTTGAGTTTGGTTTTTTGCTTGATCTGGAGCAAAATTTGAATTATTCTCAAGAGCTAACGCGAAGTACGATGAAATAAATTGAACAACTGATACATTATTGCACAATGTGTTGTAATAAATAGGATTTTTTCCACGCAAAATTTCAGTATTAGAAAATATTCGGGTAAAAAGAATTTCAATCACGAAATATTATTTAGAAATATTTTATTCATCATCAAAAATTGATCAAATTCACTTGACCGTTCGTTAATTAATTGGCTGGTATTTAGACAAAGTATCCAATTCGCCATCATTTAGAACGGTATTAAGTGCGAGCAGCGAATACTAGATAAATACATACAAATGATCGGTAGTAGTGGGCAGTGATTATTCATTGAGTGTTTGGGCTTCAGATAAATTGCATGCTCTAGTTCAAACTAGAGCATTTACATCGATATTTATTGAGTGAAAACGATTGCAAACAGTTGATCCAAAGTGAATGTTGATCATAACGGAAAAAAAAGTTTAAACAAGTTTAAATTAGAATTAAATCACAAAATATTGTCGCAATGACAACTGGAGACGACGAGAATCGTGAGCATGTCGATGCAGTGCACACAAGATTCCGCGAGAAATCGCCACAAAAGAATTTCTTTTGTTTTGCATGCTACGAAGAGTTTCCGGCTACCTCAACACTCGAAGTGTTTCAGCATTATGGAGAAAAGGAGCATTCCACATATCATTCCGATTGTTTGTACTGCCAAGGAAAAGTGTATCAGTATCGCGATGGCAACGAAAAATTGCAATATTTCCACAATTGCTGGCGATGGAAGCGAAAAATTGAAAAATAAACCAAATAACCGACAACAGCATAAGTCATCATCAATGCTCGAAGTCACCATTTAATGTCTCGCATTTCGTTCGTGTTCTGGTGAACAGCAATAATCAAACAAAAGACTGACACAACCATTTCCATTTAATATTTTCTCAAATTTAAGATGTACTTTTCGACATGCGTTGTTTATATTTGCTTATTCCATTCAATAAATTTACAAAAGAAAAACATGAAAAAAAAACCGTTTTGTTTTCCTTCCGTTTCTGCTAATATTGCACATTTGTTATGTCCAACCAAAAAAAAAACAGTGGTTGCTGTGTCTGAATTGATAATGTAAACACATAAACATTTAAAGTTTGTAGGTCAGTCACCGTGTTGCCTGCAGCGCATTATACATATGTACGCATTACGGCTCGTTCAGGTGGATGAAGTTGCTGTTGTGGCGAATTCTGTGTTTTGGCGCGAGCGGCGAATTCATCTGATGGTTGACAGCTCATCTTGTACCATCATCTGCGTTTCATATCTTCTTTTATGTTACTGTTGCAAATAGACGCGTGAATAACAAATATTTTCTAATCGATTAAAAATTTGCCCATGTTTGCACAATTTTCACACAAATTTATTGGTAAAACGTGAAAAACGGCACAGTTCATCTTTTTTTCTCGATCAGTTTAATTTTTGACGGCCGAAAAAATGTCAACAATTCCACGAAAAGTGTTCATTCAAGTCGATTCGACCGAGGAACAGGTAATGAGTCATTACTAATGACTTTGTGTACAACTTATTATTTTTTTTGTAGGTTATAATTTTGTTTACAGCTATTCGGTTTTGTTGGGGAGAATCAATGCAATTCGGTATTGATTTCAATTAATTTTCTGTTTGCAGGAAAATGTTAAAAATGCTCGAAAAACATTGAAAGTGCTTCAAAAGGAAGCAACGGATAAAGAAAACTTGATCGGACGCCCATCCACCGAAAAGACGCTGTTCAAAAAATCCAAATCGTAAGTGATGACAAGATGAAAAACATTTGTTTTTGAGACAGAATCAAATTTTTTTAATTTGGAAGAATTGATTTTTGAAAATTATTTTAATCTCAATTGAATTGTGATTTTAGTTTCAATGGTTTTGTTCAACGAATTTTTATTTGTTTTGATTCAAAAAACGATTTTTATTAAACAATTTGCAATTTTTTGTTAATCAATTGAAACATTTTTAATCGAATCATTGATTGACTGACATTCAATCTCAATATTTTTTCTGCAGTGAAACAGCCGTTCTCAGCTCAACACCAAGCAAAGAGCCCAGACGTCGCAAGTCAAGCCAAGATCCGGCTGAAAAGTTGCAAAATCGTGTCATCGAAGAGGACCTTACGACCGAAGGTGAGCCAAGT